AGACCAAATACTACATGAGTACATGTATAGCCTTTGGGAGTTGACCATAGCTATACCCCCTAAAGATGTACTTTTCCATGTTTGATTTTGACTGTCTTCTCTCTTCGATTAGTTTTAATATGTCCTGGGTCATTCATTTCTTATTTGCTCTTTTAGCTTTCATATTGTTTTATCCAATGTGTATGTTGTGTGACTTGTGTGTGTTTAGAGACAGAGAGAATATCGTTGTGAGGCTATGGATATTTTTGTTTATAATGTAACTACATGTACAAAGTCATAGTCAAGTCTACTTCTGACAAACTCAACCAATAAAGCGATCCTCATATCGTTTTATCCAATGTGTATGTTGTGTGATTTATTTGTGTGTAACATGCTATTTATTAAATATATATATTATATATACAGTGGCGGGGCGCCCTTGGTGCAATTGGTGCAAGCGCGCCACCTAACCCTGGCCTTCACCCCCTCCCTTTTGAATTGTTCTAAACCAGTCAGTGCTCTAGATCTACATTATTACCGGTACTTCCTTGTGATCCGTCACCAGCTGGCTGCACCAGTGAACAGACAAACGGCAAGGATGAGATTTTGCACATTTTAAGAGGTAGGGTATAAAGATCTACTTTTGAGAAATTAGATTGTAGGTTTAGAACACATACAAACTTTTTAAAAAAACAATGATTCAATTGTTTCTGAGATATTTGTTCATGGAAAATCCATTTCCAATTCGGCATTCAGTTGACATCAATATCATGATTAGAATTCGATGGTAAAACATATCAGAGAAGAGGAAATGTGCTTCAAGAATAGATTTTAACACCTAAAAGCAGTTTTCATTATCTTTTTAAAACATACCCTACCCTCAAAACAATTCAAAATAAAATATTTTAGAAGTTTAGAAGTCAACTCAACAAAAACTATTTTTACACATTGTTAATTAATGGTGGAACTATCAGGGTTTTTTTTTTTGGAAACACATTTTGGTCGAAAAGGTGATTTTTTTGGTCATTATCAGCCTGTTGCTCAAAATGGTCTGTGGCGACGTTTGGTACCTTTCCTTAGGCACACACACACATTATGTTCTTAAAGACTTTTCTTAAGCTCTCTCTCTCACCCACTCACTCTCTCATTCTGTCTCTCTGTCTCTCATTCTGTCTCTCTGTCTCTCTTTCTCCCTCCTCTCTCTCTCTCTCTCTCTCTCTCTCTCTCTCTCTCTGTGTCTG